CTACACTCACCCGGACGATCACACTATACGAACTACTGATACTCCTGGGTTCAAACCATTTACTATGTAGGGCTGTATAGTCTTGAACCCAAGGTTACTGTGCTCTTCAAATCGGACAGTCGCAAAGATTTTTTTCATTTGGTATCATCCAAGATTCACGCACATTTTCATAAGCTAAACGACCCAAAGATGAAATTTTAAACATTTTGGCTGACCATCCGCGTACATATTTAATTAAGGTGAACCTCAGAATTAACCTGCCAAAGGCCTTAATGCATATCAAACCCTCGGCTCGCGGATAATTATTTCCAGAAAGGTTTCAGAACGTTCGAAAGAAAAAATGTGTTATCAGGCATAGTGATATACATTTCATTTCCACGCCAGTATCCTCGTACTCTACTGCTCTTCTTGTATTCTACTGAGTTATGAAGGTTTGAAATGGATTCCCAAGGAAAAATGTTTTCAAAAATTCACAAGACTTCCCGTCGACAGCTAGGCCAGCGCTATGACGCGAAGAATCCGGGCTAAAAAAATATAATCCAGTTTAATATAATCGACAAACAAAGGGAGAATTCAAGGCACGGTGGATTAAAATTCTGTCCAAGATTTTAGATTATGTTTTTTTCTTTTCACCTTATTAGGAAGTATGGACTTTTCATTGCTATGAATGTCCTTCATGAATTCAAAGTTAGCTTTTTTAAAGAACAATTTCGAAAATAACGAAAGAAAATTAGCAGAATCTAAGTGACATATAAAAACATTTTACACTTTGTATATGTCCTATTTATCGGAGTTGGCCCACCCGACCTGAAATAAAAACCGCGACTAACTCCAACACCTTTCCCAATCTTTCCTAATCCATTTATGAAATGTATGTGGCTTAATCTTTCTGGTCGCACATTCTCAGACAACATAGTGCTATATGTCAAAGAGAGAAAAAAAAAAAAAAAAATCTGTAATGCTTGCACATAAACCTGACCAATACTTTGGACTATATATCTGAGAGAATATCATATAACCAATAGGCTACAGCTGAATTGCTCAACTGTTATTATAAAAACGTGAGCGTTAAAACTGAACTTATTTTGAACAAATTTTCACGATGCCTTCTGGAAAGAGGAACATTCATAATTTTCAAGCGTAATGTCTGAATACTTAGCAACAATTGGAACACTGCCACTGGAAACACGATGACTTTTTCATCAAAAAGATATTAGAATTATGTAATACCTAATGTTAAAAAAGTGCTAATTAAAAATAACTTACCAGAAGGCTTTGCCTTCTATGGGCAAACTGTGTCTTCCTCTTGTGGTAAACCGACTATAATGAAATGATGAACAAGATGTTAAAACATCCACGATACATTCTTAAGGAAAGAAAATTGATTATTTGGTAATTTGGGTCCATTTTACCTGTTTTGTTTTATTTTTTTCTCGGAAGCAAACTTTTCGGTCTCAAATTAAAGATTCCTGCTGTACGATAACTTCCCTTTCTGTGAGGATCAAAGATTGTGATAAGACAACACACAGTTTGTTTAAAAATTAAAATACGCACAGGCCAACGTGATTAATAATTAATGATATTTTACTTGTTGAACCTAAGAAGAAAGAGAGCCTAATGGTAGCAATCCTCTTTAGCAGCGTAGTGATCGACTAAAGAAATTTAGTTCTTGTTCGTCTTAAAATTTCTTTGCTTACAAATTGGTCCAAGAACTAAACAGAAATTAGCGTTTTACACCTTGTCCCTGCGCCTTTCTCAAGTCTGGGCTTTACTGTATTTTTATGAGGCTATTATTTACTCACTACCGATTTAAACTGTCAAACCGTCAAATTAACCCAGCCAAACAATACTCTAAAATTCTATTATTACAAACTGTCAAAGACTAGCCCAAACAAGACAATTCTCACAGACGTAATTTCTAAAATGTTTAATGTTTTAACATCAATTTTCGTTTTCAAACTTATCGTAGGTTTCGTACGTAAGACTGTACGCTCCAAACTTCATTCAGTTATTCACGCTGAAGCAGAAGAAGATGGAATAAACTTCTGAGGAAAATACGAGAGAAATTGGCTTTAATTAACTGCTCTTCATGTAGTTGAAGATGCGTGGTTATTTACGGCTTTCTTTCGCGAATAAAAGCATTTCATTTATCATGCTATCCAGTACGTTGTCTTTGGCATTTCTTTGA